AGAGGTCGGAAGGAAGGAAGGAATGGTCATTATAGCCTGTGTCGGGGCTGGAGAGTGCGCTCAGTACAGTGTTTGCCACCTGAGTTCAGATCCCCAACAGCACGCGCGCGCACACGTACCTACACCAAAACAAACGAATGCATTAATTAAACAGTCTGTGTGAATCCTTTGCAGCAATGAACGGATCGTGGAGTCTGTAGGGTCACTTTGAGGAGCCCGTGGACCTTGTTCAACTGCAGCATTAAAGTGAAGCATGGTGACTCTCCTTACATCTCCACCGACCGCTTCACTTGGGTCAAAAATAACGCCAGCTCTTCCTGAGGCGGAGTAGGTCCGCAGCCCCAAAGGCTGCCAGCGGAGTGCAGGACAGACCCTGAGTTCATCCAGCAAACAGCTTGCAAAACAGCTTTTACACTCACAAGCTTGACAAGGTTTCAGAGCTTAGCCCTCAGAATAACATCCTCCTGGAAACTGCACCTCACAGCTCCCCGCTCTATTTCTCCACAACGCCAGGCCGAATGTATCGCCCAAAAAAGTTTGTAGACATGGCAGCCAAGGTAGGTGATCAAGTGTCAGGGGAAATACAGGAGTCACATTTGGACGTGGATGGAATCCAGAGGCTGTCTTTAGCATTCCCTGCACTGCCAGGTCTAGAGGGAGAAATTCCAAGACAAGAAAGCACAGAAATGTAAAACTAGTAAGGGTGCAGACTCCAACAGAACAGCTGGCTCTGACTGCACTGCCGGAAGTCAGAGAGAGCCGTGAGCAAACAGGGATTGGAGAGTGTGTGTGTGTGTGTGTGTGTGTGTGTGTGTAGGCAATGCAAGCAAGCAGTGAAGGCCAACTGTGGCCCTGGGATCAGTGTTAAAATAACAGTATCAATCCACACTTACATTGGGTTCATTGTTATGTGCATGTACATACTTACAAATTTTAATTTATTTTTCTTTTTTTCCCTCATTTTCCATCATTCTGTAAAAGGTATACTAGAATGGTCAACTTCACTACTGAGTCAACAGGTATCACGATATAAAAGTAATATAGATGCCCCCTAAAGGTCCAACACTTAGCACTAAACACAGTAGTCCATAAGACCCGGTTGTCCAGAAACACATTTCCATTTGCACAAGGACCACATTAAGGATATGCAAGAACACTGTCTTTCTTACAATTGAGAAAAGGAATACACAGATGTTAGAAAGATTAAGACGTAAGCTGTTACTTCTGGTGAATGGCTTCTATCTGGGGCAAGTGTGAAGATCAGGATGCTGGGGATGTAGCTCAGAGAGAGAGTTTACCTAGCTACCTGGGTTCCATCCTCAGGACTGTTCCATAGAACAGCAAAATGAAAAACCAAAAATCTGACGTTTCAGTATTTCTCAACCTGGTGGTTAAAATAAGAACGATGGTGACATCTGTAGTCCCCGTACTTAGGAGACAGAAACAAGAGGGCCTAAGTTCAAGGTCGGCCTGGGGTCGCAGTGAAAGCTGATTGGAACGGAAGCCGCACAAGGAGGGGCGTGGCCATCCTCATCGGCCAGCTCTACAATGCCACTGGTCAAACGGCAGGAACTCAGTGGAAACTCTAAATGACAGAAATCCACAGCCACCGACACAGCTGCGGTGTCCCAGACAACAGTACCACATCAAGCGGAGCTGAAGCTGGGCTGTCGCCGCCTCCCTTGGTTCCTGCCTCACAGGTCTTCCCAAGATCCCCCTAATGCATTTCTCTGCTGATTAAAGCTAACCAAGGTTGATTTCTCTGGCTTTCACTCGAACACTCTTACAGAAGAGTAAGTGCACGTCAAGATAATTACACCATTAGGACAGAAAACAATTTCCTCTGTTCCTTTTTGTCAGTCTGTGCCCACACAGCTGTATCTACAGGTCTTAGTAAGTTAGCCAAAGGAAAACAGATACTGGACCATATTTTAAGTTTAAGATCTATTTATTTTCTGCGTGTGCTCCTGTGTGTGTGTGCACGCACACGTGCATGTGAGAGCGTGAGTGCACATGAGCAGCCAGCACACCTGGGTGCAGCAACCACTGTTCATGCCGTGACGTGTGTGTAGAGGTCACAAGACAGCTTGCAGGACTGGGTTGTGTCCTTCCACACTGAGGGTCAGACTTCCATCATCAGGCTTAGTGGTGAGCACCATCACCCCTTCCTTACCTGACAAGCCATCTTGCAGCCATGGACCACTTTTTAAACCTTTTTTTTTTTCATTTAGTTCAAATCTTGTATGTATAGTGTTTATTAAAAGGTATAATAAAATCCCTCACCTGGCTGTTCTGAGTTAATTTAAAGACTCTTAAGAATCTTTAATTTCTCTAACATTTTAAATACTCAGGAGTTTAAATATTTCTAAATAACCACAGAGAGCTCTTTGTGCAAACTCATAGCCCTACAAAATGTACTGCTTTAAGTTACAAATCTTAGTCTGTAAACATTAATACATTTGAGGAGAAAACACGTCCATCCAGCAAGAATGACTCAGAATCCTGAGTATTTGTAGACACAAGGTTCAACTAAACTGCCTCACCCCTATGTCCACTTTGCTCGGCTGACCCCTGGATCTAGTAAGGGCTCATGTTAGTCTTGAAGATTTCTTGTTGCTGTTTCTGCCATTTTGGTTTCATAGTGCAGTTTTTGTTTGTTTTAACACATTTAGCCCTTGTTAACCTCAAACTCTGTAGCCAAGGATAGCCTTGAACCCCAATTCTGCTACTGGATGCTCTAATGCTAGGATTACAGATGTAAGCCACCAAAGTTTATTCTTCTCCTTCCTCCTCCTCCTTCTCTCTCTCCCTTTCTTTCTTTCTTTCTTTCTTTTTTTTTTTTTTGTCCAAGAACACGGTTCTCTACATAGCCATGGCTACCACTGAACTCCTGGTCCTATTTTCTCTTCTATTTCCTGAGGTCTGGGATTACAGGTATATGCCACCATGCCCAGCTATTTCTTTTTTCTTTTCTTTTTAATGTTTCAAGGATAGTTTCTTTCTTCTTTCCTTTCTTGCACGTGTTTACACCTGTGGATGTGGGTGTGGGTGCAAGTGCGGGTGCACATGTGCCTCAGTGTGCATGTGGAGGTCAGAGGTCAGAGGTCAGCCTCACCTGCCACCTTTCTGAGACAGGCTCTCACTGTTGTTTTCCCACTGTGCACATCAAGCTAGCTGGCTCAAGAGCTTCAGATTCTCTGTCTTGCGCTCCCATTTCCCCAGAGGCTGATGTCTGTCAGCACTATGCATCCGACTTTGACTGTCCCTGCTTTCTTAGCAAGAATTTTCATCCATTGAGCCTTCTCCCTAGCCAGCCTGGCCTTTCCTTTCTTCTTTCTTCTTTCTTTTCTTTCTTTCTTTCTTTCTTTCTTTCTTTCTTTCTTTCTTTCTTTCTTTCTTTCTTTCTTTCCTTCCTTCCTTCCTTCCTTCCTTCCTTCCTTCCTTCCTTCCTTCCTTCTTTCTTTCTTTCTTTCTTTCTTTCTAATATTTATTCTATATGTGTTCTTTTTCTGCTGGCTTAATGGCTGCACCTGAATCTACTGATGTTTTAACTACCGTCTACGCCCTGCGGCCCACAGTCAGCACGCTACCACTAAGGTTGAGGCCTGGCGGGATTTCCAGTCCTGCTGGCATGGACACGGGCTTGGCCATGGCCACCAAATGTAGGTTTTAACTAAGTCTCTATTGTTCTGTTTATCAATAAACACTTGGGAGTCAGATGCTGGAGTCAAAACCTGCTAGATCAGAGATGCTGAAAAGCAACCAGCTGACTGGTCTTCCTTTTCAGCAGGAGACCAAGCCCCCCCCCCAAAAAAAAATGCCACTCCTCTCAAAAAACCTCCGAATCTCTAAGTCCTCTTACTCCTTCCTACGTGCCTCTCTATCTATATTCCTGAGTCCTCCATACTCTCTATGATTAATTCTTGTCAACTAGTTTCTGGCTTCACTCCCTAATCCAAGGTTAATTTTATTAACACAGTCTTGGAGTTTCACAGTGCTATCAAATATCCCGTAACATGTATGTATGAGTAGTTTGCTTAAATGCATGACTGTGTGCCACATGCATTCCTGGTGCCTTAGGAAGTCATAAGAAGGAGTTGGATTCCATGGAACTGGAATTATGGGTGGCTGTGAGCCACGTGAGTACTGAAAAATGAACCCAGGTCCCTTGCAAGAACAAGTCTAAACCATCAAGCCATCTCTCCAGCCCCCTGGCTTTTTCTTAAATAAAGGAGGCATGGCACTTTTTTGTCAACACCTGGAAACCTGTTTTCAGGGTTATCTTTTCTTTTTGTATTTGGGGACATGCCCCTCCATCCTTCCTTTCATCTGTGGAGTATTAAAGGTACTTTTTAACACTAGCCAGTACCTCCTCCCAAAATTCAGACAACACTAACTCAGCCCTGCATTCCCCTTCTTATGCAGCCACCCTAACTCATCCCTTCAAGAGTCTTCTTTCCAGACCTTTCCTCACTTGCCAAGCCTGCTCACCTGCAGATCTACGAGGCCCAAAGCAAACACACCAGGCAGAAGGAACCAGTTTGAGGGTAGATGAAAATGTGCTCTGAGAAGAGAAATTGGCGACACAAAGCATGGTGTGGGAAAACAGGTGTTAGCCAGACACCAGTCCATTGTCTACAGAAGACTAGAGAAAATGTACTATGGCAGTGGTCCTCATCCTTCCTAATACCGTGACCCTTTAATACAGTTAGTTCCTCATGTTGTGGTGACCCTTAACCATAAAATTATTTCACTGCTACTTAGTAACTGCAGCTTTACTACTGTCATGAATCGTAATGTAAATATCTGATATGCGATCCCTGTGAAAGGGTCATTTGATCCCCTAAAGGGGTCACAACCCACAGGCTGAGAGCCACTGCACTATGGACAGGAAAATAAAATATATCTGTCTTTATGTTTTATTTTTCCTTTAAATCTATTGCCAAAGTCCTCTAAGATGAGACCCTGGCCTGGCACTCTACCTGCTGAGAGCATTTTACCTGAATGGCACTTCCTCCTGTGGGACGTCCACATAGTACCGGATGAAAAACCTCTCAGAATCTTCTCGCTCTCCATCAGTCACAACGCTGCCATTGAGTTTGGAAACAGAGGGCAGTCTATAAGTTAAAGCCAAATAAACACAGTGTAAGGCGCTGGAAACGAAGCAATTGGTCGTCGTTTTTTGAAAGGACACGGCTGGCTGGACCCTGTCCCTGTGTGAAGACTGGCACACAGTGAAGTCATCCAAAGGACAAAATAAAGAGCGTGGCATGCTGCATTTTTGGATGTGATGGTGATCTTCTGTTTTAAACCTAACACCTTTACAAGCACAACTCTAGGTCACACTGGCCAACTCAGGTGGGTGGAATGCAGTCCAGTTATGTATCTGAAGTATTGAGTAGCTCCACTTTAAAATTGGTTTTTATTCTCTTTTTCATGTCTATGTGTCTGTGTTTGTACATGTACTCACATGTGCAGGTGCGTGTAGAGGCCCAAAGAGGGTAACAGACTCCCTAGAGCTGGGGTTACAGGTGGGGGTACACCGCCTGACATGGGTACTAGGAACTGAACTCAAGCCCTTGGAAGAGCAGCAAGTACTCTTCACCACTGAGCCATCTCTCCAGCCGTTTTAAAAAGCAAAAAGAGGTAAAATTGTAACAATATATTTTATTTAATCCAATATAACCAGAATATGAACATTTCCACATGTAATCAATATTTTAAAAAGTAAGGCATGAGCTCTTTTATAGTCTCTTACTCATATAAACTAGGGGAAATCCAGTATCTGTTTTATATTTCAAATTAGCCAAGACATTATTTCAAGGGCTCATAGCCACCCAGGCTGGCGGCTGCCATGTTAAATAGCACAAGTTCACAGTGTAGTTCGTAAAACAGCAATATGTAACTCACAAATCATCTTCGGCTTGTGAAAGAACTGTGTAAAGAACTAAAGCCTAAAGCCTACCCACCATGAGACTCGGGCTTCCCCACAAGAACACAGTGAGCCCTCTGACTGTGGTAAGAAGTACCGGCACGGCAGCATTAGCTGGGCATTAGCTGGGCAGAAAGATCAATACTGTACTTAAGGAGGCACTCTTCTGAAGAAACCCCAAAGCCTACTGCCCGTCCTTCAAAAGCTCCATGTGGGGTACACACAGAGAGCAAAGCAAAGTCCCGGGGCTCTTTTCATTTCAGCCCAAATCTTCTTTCTGCAAAAGGTTCACACAGGCACACACAGTGGTGGGAAGCTGCAGCAGTGTGCAGAGGCAGCATCAGAGACAGGGAAGGCAGGGAGCACAGAGGACAGTAACAGCTGCCTTCTCAAGTCGACCAATGAGTCCTCAAGAAGAAAACAGCCACTGCGGAGAGGGCTCCATTGCCCGGTACAGCTGCACTTTACAAGACCACTATGTTAGAGGAGATAGGGACACCCGCATCAGACGACTCTCCATCAGTAGGTTTTCACCTCACCACCTAAAACGGGCTTTCAAATACTCTAAGCACTTAAAAATAAACAAACAAAGCATACATTTGCAAGAGAATGTTTCCCCCAGTGGCCTCGGCAGGACAGTCATAGGTCCTGCTCACGATATCACAATATCACATCCGTTCTTATCTAGGCCTGAGCTCTGCAGTATGGTGATACTTTATTTGTGCTGAAATGTGAGTTTATTTGTACGTTAATAAATAAAGTTACCTGGGGGTCAGAGCTAATGGCAAAAAATAATAATAATAATAATAATAATTAATAGAAGGGGAAAATATGATGATATTTTATTTGTGCTGAAATGTGATTTTATTTGTATGTTAATAAATAAAGTTACCTGGGGGTCAGAGCTAATAGTAAGCCATTTAGCAGAAGTCTGGCAGTGGTAGCACATGCCCTTAATCCCGATCACATGACAGGCAGAATCTCTGTGTGTTCAAGGACACAGCCAGCAAGGAGATACACGCCTTTAATCTAAATACCAACGATAGAGACCTGGAGGTCTGTATAGACAGGCAGTGACAAGGAGGTCATGTGGTTGGGTTTACAACCAATGAGAAGGCAGAACAGAAAGTCAATAAAAATACAGACACACAGGAAGTAGGTCTCTTTCTCAGGGGAAGGACGACAGCGACAGCGGAGGAGTAAGAAGGTGGTCTTAACTCTTGGCTGCTGCTCGATCTCTGGGCTTTTAACTCTGCATTTGGCTGTGTTTCTTATTTAATAAGAGCGTTCAGAATTACATCTACACTATAGAAACTGCACAAGGTCTGCTCAGGAGATGGGAAAATCCACAGCACCCCGAAGACTACACGTCCTTAAAGGCCCCTTCAGAAAGAAGCAGAGGGGGGCAGGACAACACACCTGGCCACCACCAGTTTCCTGCGCTCCTCGGTGGTATATGGCTGCAGAAGAGGAATTCCGAGCAATCTCACTTCTTCAAGCTTGGGGAAGGAATTTAGTTTGTCAATGTCTTCCCATGACTGCAAACCTAATTGGGGAAAAAAAAAAAAAACCAAAACATTATTTAAGTAAACCCAGGAAAGAACAAAAGGAAGAAGATAAAGATGGCCAAGCAGTTACCTAGCAACTCCTGAAATGCTGAGGTGCAAACAGCCAGTGAGATGCTGGTCCCTTTCCAGGGATACAAGGATATGGTTAAACTCCAAAGTAGCTCCCCCAGGGAAAAAGGCTCAGTCCTGCATGTCTAGATTCTCATCTGCTCAGAAACTAAGGCATGAGGATGTGGAGTTCGAGGCCAGCTTGGGCAGGATAGTGAGAAAGCAACAAAAACAACCAACCAACCCGCCTGCAGAGCCTCTCCTGTCTGTGAGCTCAATGGTGAAGGACAGAGAGGGTGGGCCTGGTCCTCCAACAGCCTCCCATCTCCCATTCCACAACAACGGCTTCTAACTGGGTCATCCTGGTTGCAGCAAACAGGGTGCATGCTGGGATTTTTCTAAGAAGGGACTTGACCGGCTTCTTTACTTAAATGCAGGCTCATGGACTGCGACTGTCTGAGGTGATGGTGGCATACCAAACTTTCCTCTAACATGTTCTAACACGTGACAAGAGCAGGAGAACCAGAAACTAAAACTTATTACTTCATGCTACCCTCATGCTAATGGCAGGGAAATGGGTCCAAAATCACTGCGAAAACACACCCGACCCCTGAGCACAGTAACCCCAAACTCTGAAGCAAGTCGAGCACTAGCCAGGTGAAGACGCTTAGTTCTGATAGATTAGCACAAACAAGACCTTAGGCTCAATCTACAGCATTGAAAACAATTCAACTACAACCTAACAACCCAACTAACGGCCAACTATCAACTCAGATATCAAACTAACAACAATCCAACTAACAGCGCAACAAAAATCCAACTTACAACCCAAATAGCTCATTCTGTTGTGTAGCAGTTTCCTCCAAATTTAAATCTTCTATCTTGAAGGAAAATATTTAAAACAGGATGTTTACAGGGAGGTAAAACAACACGACCATTCTAAGGGGAAGTGAAATACTACAGGGAAACTCCTAAGACTGGAAGTAAACAACTTAAGATTGCTTCAGGAAGTTTCTGAAATTGACCAGATTCACTAGGCCCCTCCATCCCCAAAAATATAAATAGTAAAGACTGCTGAGAATCCATGGCAGACAAGCCCAAATGCCTAGAAAAAATAGAGACTAGCCAAACTGCCTCGAAAAAACAAAGACCAACTGATCCACTTGGACAAGGACACCCTCCAACTTGTTGAGCTGCCTATAAGTTGTTCAGTGTGCTCCAGGTTTCCAGTTTTTGTGAACTGTCACTCATACTGGGTGGGCTTTGGTGATGCAACTGTCACTGTATCAGTTCTGCTCCTGTAAGTAATCCCTCACCCATACTTCTATAAATAACCTCAATAAAACTCACCTGTTCATCAAGATGTACTTTGATGGTATCTGTACTTCAGTTTTTTTGTCAGTCCTTATCTGGGGTGTTTGCTCTCATCTTCCCAAGAATCCTCACAACCCACCCCAATTATAAACCAACTAACAACCTCACTATAACTAAAAGTGCAAAAGTCCCTGAACAGACACCTTTTCACAGATGACAACAGATGGCAAGTAAGCAGACAGACAGACTCTTTCCTATTGGGCAGTTAGGGAAGTGCAAACTCAAGACACCTAATAGAAGTCAGAGCATACACCACTGCCAACACCCAATGCTGTCCAGCATGTGGGGCAACACAACTCTCATTCACTGTTAGTGGAAATGGAAAACAGTGCAACTACTTTGAGAGTTTAGGATTTCTTACAAAACTAATTAAAATCTTACTATATGATTCAGCTGTCCCACCCTTATTATTTACCTAAACAAACTGAAAGCTTATGTCTATTTGAAAATCTGCACAGATGCTTAAAGCTTTACTATTGTTGTTGGGTTTTGCTCTTTTGGGGGCCCACTGTCCAGCTCCCAAATAAATCACACATGGAGGCTTATTCTTAATTATAAATGCCCAGCCTTAGCTTGGCTTGTTTCTCGCCAGTTTTTCTTAAATTATCCTGTCTATCTTTGGCCTTGGAGCTTTTTATCTTTCTCTATTCCTGTATACTTTTCTTTCCTTCTTACTCCATGTCTGGCTGTGTAGCTGGGTGGCTGGCCCCTGAAGTCCTCCTCCTTCCTCTCTCATTCCTTTTTCCTTCCTCCCAGATTTCTCCTTCTATTTATTCTCTCTGCCTGCTAGCCCTGCCTATCTTTTTTCCTGCTTTGCTACTGGCCATTCAGCTCTTTATTAGACCAATCAGGTGTTTTAGACAGGCACAGTAATACAGCTTCACAGAGTTAAACAAATGAAACTTAAAAGAATGCAACACATCTTTGCATTATTAAACAAATGTTCCACAGCATAAACAAATGTAACACATCTTAAAATAATATTCTACAACATTTTACTTACAGCTGTTCAAACTTGAAAGTAAAATCAAAGCCCTTTCAGCAGGTGATGGATAAACTATGGTACCCCCTAGAAAATGGAGTATCATTTGGGCCGAAAAGAAAGGACCTCTCAAGCCATGAAAAGGCATGAGAGGCTTAAATGTGAATTACTAAGTGAAAGAAACTGATTTTAAAAAGCTCCACATGGTGTGACTCTAAATAAATGACCCTGTGGCAAAGGTGCAGAGACAACAGAGGATCGGAGCATGTCTGCGTTAGAGGGATAAACAGGTGGACCGGGGGCACAGGGAGAGCACTGAGCTGGTCTGCGCACCCCACCTGGAGGAGCTGTTCTGCTCATTTCTCAAAGCCCATGGGGTACATTCTAAGGGAAGCTACTGAACTCTCAGAAGCATGACATGTCGGAACCAGTTCACTGATGGGCACGTTACAAACATACCAGTTGGGGGTGGAGGTAGAGAGTGGAGGCAGGTTGTACATACGTCTGTACTTTCTAGTAAAGTGTGCTGTGAACCTAAAACTGGTCTTAAATAAAAATCATTAACACAAATTCATCCTCGTGATGTATAGCAGACAACAGCAATAAGGTGATAATCAAGAGTATATAGATGAGCATTTAAAAAAGGCTGCCAGACTATGACTCCTTACCCTGTATCTAGGTAAAATGATCTAGTTTATAATTCTTTTTTCTGTCTTTTAATAACTATATCATCAATTTCATTTTACTCCTTTATAACAAAACTCCCCCCCCTTTTTTTTCTGTTTTTCGAGACAGGGTTTCTCTCTGTAGCTTTGCGCCTTTCCTGGAACTCACTTGGTAGCCCAGGCTGGCCTCAAACTCACAGAGATCCGCCTGGCTCTGCCTCCCGAGTGCTGGGATTAAAGGAGTGTGCCACCACCACCTGGTGTATAACATGACCCTTTTTAATGTATAAAATGTAAATTATGAATAGAATTCTATGCTCCTTAGTACTTATTAGAGTACTTATGAAGAAAATGATGTCCTTAATGCAGTGGTCGTAGGTACCTGGAAACCCACCCTTTATGAGTACAGTTATGACTAAAACACATTGTTATTATAGTCCATCATGAACTTGAGCAGTATGACAGAGAACGAGGGCAAGCCTGTGCCTCACCTGACTTGTGGAGGCTGATGGATCGCAGATTAGGGAACAACCTAGCCAGGGAGTCAGCAGGTTCCTCGATAGCATTCACATGATTGTTGGCCAGGACCAGGGTATCCAGGGAAGGAAACATTACCCCGAGCTTTCGGATTTCAGTCCAGTCTTGGAGGTTATTGTCTGTGATGTGTAGGAGCTTAAGGGAATGACAGCAGACAGAAGGACAAGACACTGTTTCATAGTCATTAAGGCACAGGAAGAGCTCCTCCAAACTGCAGAGAAAAAGGAAACTGGTTTAGAGCAGTTGACTTTGACCTTCACACACAGTGCCATGCATTCAATAACTAAAGATGCAAGTGCCAGGAACCCCAGGAGGCTGGGGCAGGAAGAGCATCAGTTCGAGGCTAGCCTGGTTACCCAGTGAAACCCTGTCTTAAAAACGAGAAATAATAAATGCTCACTATATGTGAGACTCTGGCATGTATTACAGACAAAATATAAAGGAGTTTTCCTGAAGCTCAAAGTGGTGTATCGCTGGGAAGGTAATCCAGTGTGAAGCAGCAGAGACTGGCGGGAGCCGCTGCTAGACTGATCCTGCATGTAACTGAACGCCAAAGTGCAGCACCAACTCTGAATGTTTTCTGTAGCAACAAAACGGAAGTGGAAGTTTACAAGGCAGGAAAGGATGCCCAGCTGTCAAGGAGGAATAGACTTATTCAAGCTGAGAAGCAATAGAAGGAAATTCTAGAAAACAACATGGACAAGTGTTTATAAAAAGAAATAATAACTACCAACTCCCCACCCTGTGTCAGCCCTTGTGCCAGAAATATTAATATAATGTTGTCTACTTCACAGACAAGGAAACTGAGCCCAAAGAGGTTAAGGGCTTGGCAAAGGTCACTTCAAAGGTCACAGGGTTAACAAGTGACGTCTGAGTTTAAAAGTTAATTCAACTGCCACATGTAATGGGACACACAAGTCATTCTAGCACCTAAGGGGTAGAGCCAGCAGAATAAGGAGTTCAAGGCTAGCCTCAGCTACAGAGTGAGTATGAGGCCAGCCTGGGCCTCATGAGACCCTGTCTCAAAGAAACAATTAATTCAATGCCATACTGGAAGCTGTACATCGTGAAGAAAGCTGATTAGCTTAACATTGAGGAACTCAGACACAGTAAGCTGTGTGAGGCCAGATCCTGGGGCTTGGATAATTTCTATACTTAGAAAAATCAAAGAAATTCCAGCTTCATTTCTTTCTGTCAGAGGTCTCCTCTGCACAGTTATATGCATAAACAGACACAAACAGAAGAGAACAAAACATTCCTGAGCTGCCAACCCAAAGTATAATTTCTTTCTTAAGTTACTGAAAGGAATGCCAGGTCCACTTTACATTAGCCCACAGAAGCACCTAGTCATCTCAACGTCAACACATTTCAGAGATACTACAAGCAAAGGGTTGAAGCACAATTCTTAAACAGGAAATCAAAGATTAAAATATAGAAAGGCTGAGGTGTTCAGGATGACAAGTGCTTCTCAGGGGTATTTTCTAGGGAAGGATGCCATTGAATGGCTCCTAGCTATGCCCCTGGAAAGGTGAGCGGGTCACCCCACACCCTCACTTCAGTGACTTGGTTTTTCTGACCTTTCTCCATTCAACCTACAGCTCTAGAGTTTCTGAGAGAGCAGCGGAAATTCTATGCAGAGACACAGATGGCAACATGGCCCCACTACCCGGTGCTCGCTGGGCTTACTCTGGTAACTCCTGAAGTATCGTGTGCACTGTTTCCCATGATGCTTTGCTGTTGTTGAGGACAAGTTTGCGAACCCCCGAGAAGGACCCAGCGCATGTTCTCTCTAAAACCGACAGATTCAGAGGATTGGAACTCAGGTTTAGAAACTCCAACTGAGGAACATTTGACACAATCTTACTGACCTGCGGAGAAAAGAGAGAGATGTGATTCAGGCAGTAATTGGAGCTTTTAAAGAGCAGTGATGTTCATGAGGGCCTGAGTAAGTGGTCCCCAGATGAAGGGCCTTTTACCTCAGGGAGTTCCACTTAGCAAAGGCACCTACAGAGTAGCAGAAGTGAATGCAACAAATTGAGGCAAGTAATTTAGTCTGTTTCCAAGAAAGAGTAGCTTACCTAAGAGTTAGTGGCACAGGAAAGGTTCCCTGTGTGACCATTAGCAAGGCCCTGATTTTGCCCAGTATGATACACTCTTGCATAAGTAAGATAAAAGGATAATTTAGACGGTACTCTAGGCTACACATTTTTAAAGAGCTAAGATTAAGCCATGCAATTCTCTTTGACTATCTTCTCCCTCTCCTTCAACCACATTAAGTCTGAGTAAGGGCTTCTTCAATCCCACCCCCTGCCCTCCTGTGATGATCTGTGTGTCCAAAACTGACAGGAGAGACATCACCACTTAGGGATGCTTCAGTTTGTTTCCAAAGCAAAGAAAAAAAAAAGAAAAAAGAAAAGAAAAGCTAAACTTTAAAATGTATTTATTCAAAAGCCCAAGACATCCAGAATAGATCAACAGATAGACAGACAAACAAACAGACAAATAGATACTGGTGAAGGAGAAAGCATGATCACCAATTTATGGCTTACTTAGCAATTTACACAAAAAAGTGGGACAGGAGATGTGACTGAGTCTAACTATGCGCTATGCACAGTTCTAGCTTTCTTGACACATTAATTCTCGGAACAACCTGCCAGATGTGACTTTCTCATTGCGACAATTAGGAAACTGAAGCTCAGAGACATTAAATAATTTGACTATGGTTCCATAGTACATCACAAGTATAACATGAGGAAAATGAACAGCAACTGAAGAGCAGTTGGCACGGTCAGTAAGGACCAAGTGAAGGAAGCATGGGGTGATGCTCAACACCTACAAATGGACTAAGCGTCACAGGGCCAGGTAGTGTATGAGAATATTCTCTCTCAGTCACTTCTGTGAGTGAATGTTACCAAACCATAATGCAATCCATGGCTAGAATCTGGAATCTAGGCTGTGACTACAACACAGCTCCATAGCTCACACAGGGACCAACAGTGTATTACATCCTGTGACCTAACTACCAATGAGAAGAATTTTCACACAGGAGACGATGACCAGCTACCCATCACCTCTTTTAAGGACAGTGTTCTACTTAATAACTTCTAACAACAGGGCAACTCCAAGTAAATAGAAACAAAATGTAAACCCTTCTTGAACATCCACTCTTCCCTCTATATTTCTATAACAAAGAGCAATATACTAAAAAATGAGCTACTTAAAGGTTCTGAAACAAATTCTGGGGAATCTCAAGGCTAATGGCTGTATGATCCTCTCTTCACCACCTACATTGGCCAAGTGTCCCATGAGGACAATGTGTATATTCCCAAACACTACACTGGACACAAGCTAAGCAATCAGCAGGAAATATTTTGTGTTAGAAACAAATACTTTCTTTTAATGTATGAAGATCAAAAAGGCTTCCTGTGTAACCTCACATGGACGATAAGGAAAATACAGTATTGGTTAGACTGATAAAAATTTACTCATGACAGGAAAATTTCCCAACTGCAAAGGCGACATGCTCCACTGAGTTTCTAAGGCAGCTCTTCACATGGTGTCTTTAGAGTAAAAATAAAAAAGACTCCGCTGGCTGGAATGACTTCAGTTTGCTCACGTGTAAAAGAGGGGACGTGAACTTGCATCACCTCTAAGGCCTCTCCAGTACCAGGGTTTCATAGGGGTCCTCTACCCTGGCATCTATAAAGGAGGAAACCAGAGCTGTAAGGAAATGGGGAAGGGATAGACGATAACAATCTGTAATTTATGCCCAAGCTTTTCTCTACCTCACTGGACTGGCTAACTCCTCCCTCCTCTCAAACACTTGATTCAGTTTCTTTTATAAAATGGTTTCAATAAGAAAAAGGGGGAAACAGAGATATGCTGGGAAAGGTCGAACAAAATTCTATCCAGCCAAAAATCTAAGTCAGTAGCTAAAAACTGCAATTGCTTTATATACAGGTGCCCATTTAAGAAAAACGGGCACATTTTTACCTCCCTCCAAACCATTACATTTCTCACCCAGTGTGTTTTAGCCTTTCGATATACAGCAGCCAAGAGCTGAAAACAAAAGAAACGGATCATAACTTGTAATGTTAGCGACCACTCAGAAAACTCAAAGAACATTCTACATTACTTTGTTCCACACTGTTATGTTAATACAGGCTGAAGTCAACTCAGTTAATGTCTAGGGACAAATGATCTTCTTCATAATCAGACACATAGGTTGTAAGGGGATTGAAATGTGATGTCTTAAAACCTGTAACCTATGAAGCATTTGTTGCCTGGCAAAGAGTTTAATCAAAGCAAAAAAAAAAAAAAAAATCACTATTCTTTTGTTGTCGGTTTCCTCCAGTCCCTTTATGCTCTGATGTATACTCTAAAAGAGTAGGCTCAGCTACAGTTGGGAACAGGAGGATTACAAAGAATGGTTAAAACCAGAATAAACTGGAAGGGAAACTTCAACAGCATCAACAGGCTACCAACTACACAGGAGGACACTCACACCAAGTGCAGATGCACTTTAAGTAAGTATGAGACCCTGGCTGTACGCAGTGTAGTCTGGGAGATGACACAGACCTTTGCTAAAGCAGAGACAAAGTCTGGTTGCTAGTGTAAACTCCACATGCTGGCCCAACCTACAGACAGCTCCCTCCTGAAGTGCAATTACACATTTATTAAACTGCTCTCACTAGTGAGCAAAAGCCCGGGTACATAGTTAAAGTACAGGTCAAAACCCAGTCTGTGTAACATTTCATATCCCCCAAACAACAAATTTAGAGCATTCAGCAGAGGATGGAGTCAGAGGATCTGTCTGAACCCTCACCTTCAAACCCCCAGAGCAGTAGACCACAAACCTACCCAACTCTGGGGTGTCAGAGCTTCTGCAGCAGGACTGAGGAGGGTCAGCAAGGTGGCTCTTTCTGCACCTGGGCAGTGTGGGCAGAGCGCATCTGGTGACTGGGTGTCTCAGAGGACCAAGAAAGTACAAGTTATGATTTGTGAACGTGAGATAAGCAGTTTATATAGGTGAGAGGACAAATGTATGGATAGAAACAACTTCTCGAGCAGCCCGAGGATTCTATACTTCACTTATAATCAGGTGACATGAACATTCAAGAATTTTGATAAAAATTCTGTCACAACAGGAGCTATCACTGAAACACAGACACCAAATTAAATAAAACAGTGGAACAGAAACATAAAAAAGGCTGAACAGTGTTCACGGAATTTTCTTAAACAAGAAAGCTGTTTTAGGATTTGTTTTAGGATTTGTGAAACACTTGATAGCTACAGAGTATTTCAATAGCTAATTACCAGCGCTATACTGATGAGTGAGAAGTGCTAAAGGACCAGGTGAATTCTGGGAAGTCATAGTAAGAGCCACAGCAAGTGGTCTTCACCAATTCATATACACTGTCAGTCATTCCTTAACATAGGCAACAGACATCTGACGCTCTAGTACACCGGGTGGTGATTTTAAAAAGACAGAAATCACCACTGAAAACAAGCTCACAGTCTCTAGGAAAAGTGTGGAGTCAGCAAGTGACCACACCACACCGGAATAAACCCTTCTGCAGCAGCAGCGGGCACAGATGCTCTGGGTAATCGGACCCAGGGATGACAACCCGGACAGTGGCCAGCAGAGGACAGACAAGGAGAGCAGTGGGTTTGGCATGAAGAAAGCGAGGAAGCTCCCATGCCATTTGCTGCAAATGACAGTGCAGGGCTAAAGACAGACATGAGTTCTGGAAACAGCAGAGAGCTATGTGACGAGGGCCACTCCTCGGGATTCAAACCTTGGTTGCTAAGCAAGGAAAAGCAAGGGAAGGTTGTCATGCAGCAGGGTCCAGCATGACTCCTTTCCTTCAGCAGTCTGTGGCACGCTGTGCAACGATGGAGAAAGCAGGATACAACGGGCATGGAAAAACCCATTAAACAAGCTCCTACAAAGAGTCAGAGCAAACAGCGTGAGCACGATTTGAATGAACCACGTAGGAAGAACTGGTTTTCCCTTATTCTTTGTGGGAGTTTCCATCAGGAAATGTTTTAATCAGCTAGGTAATGATATCTCTAATAACAAGAAGGAATGTTATGACATTGTTAGTGCGTAGTTACAGTTACTCTGAGGTCAAAGGGCATCAGATTTATCAACCTATTGGCACTTGGATAATATAAGGAAAGTTCTGAAGGATTTGTCACAGATTGCAGTAACAAGAAAATGACTATCATCTTGGCTTCAGTGGAAGCAATTCTGTAGAGATAAACACAGACATGGAAGCGGGGTATATGAGCAGAGGATGTGGGACTGAGCACTAGAGAAAGCACTGTTAGCAGTCGAAGCCTCCGCAGACTCATGAACCTTCCAATGCCTGGAATACAGTGTCTTCATGCTGCCCAGGCTAATAAAAACAGGGTCGCAGCAATGGGCACTTACCGAAAACTCCCCCCAGGTAGCGGGTGACTTGCTGTTTACCTTGACACATACAGAGGGCAAGTGAGTTTCCGGTGAGAACCAGAGTCAGCAGGATGTAAAGGACCATAGGCAAGAACGTAATGTCTATCAACGCCTTTCCCCAAATGCAGCGGTGCACAAGCCTTACCTCGTGCCAGTCTTCCAGTTTGTTGTCAGAAAGATCGAGTTCGGACACGTGAGCGCAGAAGGCAGCAATTTCTCTCTCGTCTCCTGCACAGGTAATCCCACAGCTATTCAACACGAGCACACTTGGGAGGTTGAGGCGATCTGAATCATACGAGACACAAAACACTTGCTCCATTCAGCCTAATTCTCTTTTGGGGGGGGGTATTCTCTCATATATTACATCCCCTCCCTCTCCTTCCACTAGTCTCTCCCCTACCCCTCTCCCCCAGATCTACCCCCTCTATCTCCCCTCAGAGAAGAGCAGACCTCCCAGGGACATCAATCAAACACAGAATAACATGCTAAACTAAGACCAAGCACACACCTTCACATCAAGACTGGATGAGGCAACCCAGTAGAAGGGGAAGGGTCCCACAAGTAGGCAAGAGTCAGAAACCACCTCTACTCCTACTGTTAGGAATCCCACAAGAACACCAAGCTACTCAGCCCTAACATATATGCAGAGGATCTAAGTCAGACCCCTACAAGCTTCTTGATCTCTGAGAGCCCCCATGGGTCCCAGTCAGTTGATTCTGTGAGCCATGTTCTCCTGGTGTCCCTGACCACTCTAATTCCTCCACTACTTTCTCCCTGTCCTCTGCAGGACTCCCCCAGCTCTGCCTAATGTTTGGCTGTGGAACTCTGCATCCGGGAATCATCAGGTAACAAAACTAGCTGTATTCCCACATTCCAAGAGAGCCTAGAAAATATTGTGGGATCTTGGGGCCTGGAATTCTAAAGGGAGAGAGTTAAATATGGACCAGGAGAACTCAGAAGTGCTGAACTCCCACCAGGAAAAGTCTTCTCAGCTCCACTCCCAGCTGGGCATCTGCCAGCTACCAGAAACACCCACGCTGTCATCTTCTTGCCCACACATCAGACCCAGGTAGCCTGTGTCTTAGATCACCAGTGACTGACCTCAATCTGCAGGTCTAAAGCATCTGCACTCTTCTTTTCCCTTGGATGCTCCTTTCAAAAATTATCTCCAACAGTTCACAGACTCAGTGGAGCGTTACCCCCACCTCAGCATCCACTGAACCTATGAACTGCTGGGGCATGTGAAGGGGGCGAACCTACAGACCCAAAACAGCAGGATCTCCATGACACAGGACAACAGCAGGATAGCCAAGAGGAGCCCCAGTGAGAGCCCATTATTGGTGGTGTAGCAGAAGCCAGAGGCCTCGAGCCAGATCTATGACTTGTGCCAATGAACATTTGCAAGGAAAGATGAACAGACCAAAGGGTCAACTGTGTGTCTCAATGGGCCACACTACAGCTTCCATAACAAGACTCTGTTTTGTTTTTGCTTGGTTTGTTTTTTGTTTGTTTGTTTTTTTAATTCAGTTTTGATTTGGGGGGAGTTTGCAAAGGCAGAAGGTAGATGTGAGGGGACAGGGAGATAAGTGGGATAGGAATGAATGATGTGAAATCCACAAAGAATCAATAGAAGTTAAAAAAAATGATCTCAAACCACTAACAAGCTATCTGCTAAGCAACCTCTTAAAGTTCGTGCGTTCAAAACATCTTCCTTACTTACAGGAAGACAATCAAAATGCTGTTTCTTTCATTCCTGCCTATTGATTATTCCCATTTTATATTCATGTGCTAACAAATTTTTCCTACATGAAAATATAGCCTTCTTTTTAAATGAATTCCCAATAGGAGAAAAAGTTTCAGAATTTGAAATATGCAAAAACACGGTCAGTCAAATGCCCAGTCTGGCCACTGCCTGCCTAACGCGCATGTGTCAGCAAAGTCGCGCCCTATCTTCCTGAAAGGGACAAACGTGACACCTCAACCACTTTTTCTCCCTTTTGGAAAAACACAAGGACTCCTGAAGGTCATGATTTATAATTTGAGGCCCCGAATTATATAGTTTTTCTACTAAGTGCTACTTAGTATCAAATTTCTCAGATGTAGAACACAGCCTGGGCAACAAAGTGCCAACTCAGAAGTCGACTTCTCTAAAGCAGGAGAGTTATATTGAGAAAGGACTGTCAGACTCGAGTACTGGGAAAGAGCACTGATTCCCCACGAGCTCCCCTAACTACCAACAACTTCTTCTAAAATCTGTTAAGTACAGCAAAGATCAAAAGGCTAGCAAAAAACCACCTTGCACACTTCCCTCTTCTAGAATGTCTTCGTCTCCTCTCTAACCATATTCTACATTCTCTAAGGGCTAGTTAACCTTTGAACCCTCTCTTGAGAGTATTATCTTCTAAATTTCATTCTCAATCACTTGGTTTTCATTTGGCTCAACATAAGCTACATTGTGTTATAGCTTCATAAATGTGAATGTCGTGTAATCTAATCCAAGAACCTGTAAAGATCCTCAAGGGCAATGGCCGGCCCTGTACTATTCTGTACCCTTCAAGTTCCCTGAAAGGGTATGCACTTGAAGGATTATTCCCCAAGTATCAGTCTTTACCCTCTAAAGACAACTGAAATGTCCCTGGCCAGTCTGGAAGAAAGTAGTTCTATGAGGCTCTTTAAGAAAGCACTGGAGGAGTTGGGGATTTAGCTCAGTGGTAGAGTGCTTGCCTAGCAACTGCAAGGCCCTAGGTTCAGTCCTCAGCTCCAGGAAAAAAGAAAAAAGAAAAAAAAAAAAAGAAAGCATTGGAATCATAACATGCAGTGATGACCATTTGACTCGTAATTCAAAATAAAGGCACTCATTCACAACTAAGGCAATGTTGTAATCTAGCCCAAATAATCACAGACAAATACATGTTCTTTGTTCTACTTCCCTTACCTTTCATGGGAGAGCCCTGAGGAGTGGCTGGGACATGGACTCCCATCCCAGGGCCACGACGGTAAGGGAAGTTTTCAGGACTGTATTTTTCACACAATACTTGCATAAAACTTCTTCCACTAGGCTGGTCCATCTTCTTTTCTGAAAAGTCTACAATAAACCGAGAAGTCATCAAAATTATCTACTTATTCACATGAGAATGATTTTTGTTTATGAGGTAGGAGGCTGGGCACTGCAGATGTGTATAGCATGCTTCCACCCCAGGCAAACTTCTACTGTGGTGATACTGGAAATGTGCAGAGGACAGCACTGATCTCTCAGCATGGTGTGCACACTATCACTAAAAGGTAGTCCAGCACTCAGAGGAGGGGGTTCTTCCAAATATGGATAACAAGGATGCCTTTGGTTGGTACCAAGGTTCATGTAGTACTTAGAAAAAGACTGAACAGAAGGTGCAGATTAAACATCAGGCTAAATATGAATAGTTCATACGAATCCTTTAGTACTGTCCCTTGAAATCCATTCTTTCCCCACAGTAACTGAACCTTTGTGTATCTATACATGTGGTGTGTGTGTGTGTGTGTGTGTGTGTGTGTGTGTGTGTGTGTGTGTGTGTGCGCGCGTGCGTGCGTGGGGGTGCATACTTGTTTTTAGAAATGTATGACTAAGCTGTGGCTGATGGGATAGAAATATCTGCGGTAATTTCCAGAAATCTTGAAGACAGCCAGTGCTTTCCACCTGACCTTCCGCTTCCTGTTTCCTCTACTCTTTGCTGTAAAACAGATGCCTTGCTGGAACATGATCCGGGAAATAAACCTGATGGGAGTGAACAAGAGCAAAAGGGACCCGGGTCCCCTAGATCTCTATGGACCTAAGCTCTCAGACTGGCAGGTTCCTTAGGAATTCCAGTGACAGATAATAGTCTACTTTAATGTAAGTCACTGTCCTTCTCCATTTCCTGGTCGCTTATGATTGGACCTAAGCCTACCTAATAGAGAGTGCTATTTCTTCTGGTGCTGAATTTAGGAAACTTCTTCTCTATTTAATCTCATCTAAGGGCCCAGACACTCAGGAAGTCCAGCACTTTCTCTGCACTCACGCACACGTTAAAGGAGAGAACAGCAAACACGCTGACCTCTGACAGCCTGGGAAGCCACCACCCTAAGGGACCGGCCGGTGCTCTGGGTTTCACATCAGCCAAAACACAGCAACCACGGTTAGTCTGCGTACTACTTTTTAAAATTAAAGTAATCAATAAAAAGGCTTAGAAATGGCACAGTGAGGAAAGTGCACAGTGACCTATGAATAACGTCAAGAAACCTGGGGTTGCCAAAGCAGCTACAGGTAGGAACTGCTGTATACTTCGTCAGAGCTGAGCAGAGTGAAGAGAGCTGGCCTTGGAGGAAGAACACAGCTTGCTTGTTTGTATGTTTGTTTTTTAAACGCATCTTGGTACTTGAGCATTTGACCAATATGATGGGACCAGGACCACAGGGGAAGGAGTTAGGACGACACCACACAGACAGAGGCATGAGATGAGACCTGAGCTAATACACCAGAGGACAGCCAGTGAGCATGGCTGGTTCAAGATGGGATGAGCAAGCAAGGTTTTGGGGAATTCCAGGGGCTAGCAAGGGGAGAGGTGGGCTGTAAGACAGCCCTCGGGTTTCTGGTGCTGACCACTGTAACGAGTGTCTTTAACTAGTCAAGGGGCGGTGAACTGCGCTTCCTCCACAGACAGCGTGGGCACTTGGCGACACGGCAGGAAGCTGCATAAAGTTGGATGAGAAATGTTGGCTGAAGATGGAGACTCGGACGTCACCTGAATACAGGACGTGCTATGAGGAACAACAAGACAAAGATATTCTGGGGGCAGAAGAGACCATGAGTGACAGAGAAAAGGAGCAGGAACAACCAGAGAGCAGAGAGCACAGCCAACAGGCTGGACCTTGATGAGCAGTGAAGGAAGGTGGACGAAGGCCCCTCAGGACAAGGTAGAGAGCCGGGGGCACCTGTCAAGATTTCCTCCCTTAAACTAAAGCCAGAGAGATGGCTCCATGCTGAGCAGCATTTGATGCTCTCCCAGAGGACCCTGGTTCGGTTCTGAGCACCGACAAGGCAGCTCAAAACTAACCATCTATAACCCCAGTTCTAGGGGATCCAGCACCCTCTTCTGGCCTCCTCAGGCACCAGGAACATGTGGTACACACACATATGTAAGCCAACACTCATGCACACACACAAAAAATAAAAATTAATAAATCCTTAAAAACAATTAGAGCTTTGAATGCAGTTACACATTAGCTAGGGAGGCGAAGGACTGGAAGACACCAGCAGGAGCAAGCATTAAAGAGAGAGCTTCTCAGCGAGCTCTTAGATACCAACCAGACAATGCTTCAAACTGCTCACAGTGAGTGCTGACATTTACTTCACTGTAGCAACACGGCTTTACTTGTGCTTATGCTTATATAGTTAAATAAGCCAAATTCTGGGTCTTTTTCTTAGGCTATTATACTAGCTCTACCATTAAATTATACAGAGAGCAGAACTGTAGAATTCTGTATCTTCCAGTACTGATTCACAGCACCAAGTGCAGCATGCTGTGGATGGCAAGGGCTTGATAAATGTTGCTGAGTGTTGAAATCATTCATCTCCAGGGTGCGGAGTAGAAGAAGCAGAGGCTCTGGAAAGAGGGTAGATTGAGCCCACTCCGTTTTCATCACTTAATAGCTTTGTGACCCAACACACAAGATATGTACCTCCTGCAGCAGCAAACGTGCCAGGCCAGCATTTAATTTTTCTGTAAAAGTAAGCACATCCATCCAATTCCTATGCAAATTTGATTGTTCTGTCCTTAATAAATGGTGAAATTATATGTATACCAAATAACTGCTTTAAGATAAATTTTTATTATTATCAAGGTATGTTTGCTTTATATAGTTTATCTATGTAAAAATTTCTGGGATGGAAGGAGTCATAAGTGGACAAAGTTTGAAAAAGCCATGATTTGTAGAGTACTTGGACCCTAGGGTCACTGGAGAGCTCCAATGCCATGTGCATTACAAGGCTGTAGTAGAGCTCCAAACTCCAAACACTGCTGTTCATCCCGCATGGGCATCATGGTGAGGGGGAAAACCAGGACACAGGAAGTTTATGCTTCTCACAGACTAGGGACACATAAACTAGTTCCCAACCTCTCTCTCCTCCTCCCCCATGGATGATCTCAACATCCCCCTCAGGTTTGCAGCAAGAATTCAAAAGAGAAACAGGACACAGAAGCAGCCACTAAGGGGCATGTCTTGTGGAATCAGTGCAGATGCCTAGAACACAGATGCTCACTGAACACGTCTACATGGAACACATGTTTTCTCTGTATAATTTGCCAGAGGAAGACTGTGGAGTCCATTTCACGAGTGTATCACAGGTCACCTTGGAAACACCTTAAACACAGGGCTGTTCTCTGTTTAACTCCCGCATCTGTAAGCTTCCTGTCTGTTGGCACCTGTTTTCGTGCTATTACTATGTGACCATTTATTTCATTGATCTACAGAGTGGTAAGTGTCTGAAGAGCTACCGTGGGCTTCAGGAACCCTCCGATTGGAAGGTTCTTTGTTCATGTGAAGTCACCACCGTCAACAGCAGACAGCACAGACCAGATGCTCTCTCGGCCACTAGTAAATGGTACCTCAGCTCTTAGCAATGCCTGTCTCCAGCAGGACAGTAGTGGAATTTTTAGAAATGGTTACCAAAAACATCAGAGAAATTACACTGTCATCCTCCATAAATTGGCAGTTCCAAAGGCCAAAGTACGTGGGGAAGGCAAACTGTCGCTGTGGCGATCAAGGTCTCTATGTTCAGGCAGGATCTCTGATCTGGAGGCTAATGAGGCATGTACACCTACGTAGTTCAAGGGCAGCTAACTGGACACAACTGAAATGTAGCCCGCACAAGCAACGCAAAAGTGAACACTTATTCAAGTGAAGGTGTGGACCAGGAGATAAGCAAGTGTGGGAACTTCAGAGTTCCCCCTTGAGTCTTCAAGCCTGAGCAGAGCTCTTCCAAAGCCAGACCTGGTGGTGCCTGCCTATAATTCTCAATACTTGAGAGGCAGAGGCGGGAGAATCCTAGGTCCAAAGCAGCCTGGACTACAAGTGATTTCACCTTGTACCACAAAGTGAGGCTCTGCCTCAAAATAAAAATGAATAATAAAAAGGCCAGGAGTACAGTTTGGGGGTAGTGTCCTTGCTTGGCATATACAAACCCCAGGTCCAGTCCCCAAATATTCAGAATGTAAAAATATGTGGTGTTCTCTCTGAGATTACAAAGTGACCCTGGGCCCCTTTACTGGTCACTTCCCAGCACAGTTCACTGAAGAGCCCCCCCAGCGATGCAGGCTGCCCACATGGACACATGGCTGTCCAACTGGAACCTCACGAGGCCCAAATGGATTGGTAACACAAAATCTCCTCAGCTCTGTTATACTTTCGGAGGAATGGTAAGTGGGAAAGGAAGGCTGAAAACCAAGAAGACTGAAAAATGAGGAAATGTAGAATGGACAGATCTTTAACTGCAGCCTTTTAAAAGGTTTAGGGGTTGCGGGTAATCTATGGCTTTCTGGAAATAACAGGAGTCAAGTTACACCCGTCTACCTCTGCAGTTGGCAGAGTTCAAATGCATTTTAAACTGTTCTGAATCGGTGCTTGAAACCGGCGAGCCAGCGCGCCAGGAATCTTGGGTGATGCTGCTGGGTTCCATTACAGGTGGTGGAATATGTGAAAATCTCAAATCCTTTGTGCCTCCAGATCCCGATCCAATATCCTGTAAAGCACCTGGAGCCAGTGACAACAAGCAGGGGAAGGGACATGGAGCACAGAGCACGTCTGCCAGGGGGCTGCCTATCAGAGCAGAACATCCTGTCCCACACGGACACTATCAAACAACCTGGACTTGGTGTTCCCACCCAAAAAGGGTGAGATTAAAGTAAGTGTGAAACTCAACACAACGGAGAGCAGAAAATGGGTTAAAGCTGACCTCGGATTCGAAGGTCAGTCAAGATCTATCCTTTGATGGGAAGCAGTGTCAATGCTGTCCACAGAAACAATGCAGAACAGTGTGCTTCATAAACATAAACACTACAGCCCTGCTCACAA